AGAAAAAAAATGAACTGTTGATAAACGAAATAAACAAAAAAATAAAGCTTTAGATCAAGAACCAGACAAAAGATGTGTATATCAGAGCCGTAAAGAAACCAGTATGCCAAAATATTCAATGGGATAACGGTTCTTACGGAGCTGGATTAGGGTACCATAAGGTACCAAAGTTCGGGTACACTATGCAGTTGCATTGATCTTGGTCCGTCGCCATCATACGTATAGAAAAAACGACGATGTGCGTTAGATGACCATAGCGTCAAAGCAATAATAATTGCTGTTATAAATGACGGTAATGTTTCACGAAGCGATGATGACAAAGGTACAGTTCATGGAGATTTTTCAGGCAATTGAGGCCATTCATGTGATAGATTACGATGTCGTAATACCAGTGACTTTGTGTTAGAAGGAAACAATGGCGTTGAATGTGAGTCCGGTAGAGGAGTACTCTTCGATATCACTGCTAATTCTGACTGCGATTGTGCAATTCTTATTTCCTTTTCTAGAGCACTTTCGGCTAGTTGGGAAGCTTCTGAAACTATTCATAAATATACAGTAGGTTGTCGTTGTTGACTTTGTTCGTGAAAATGCCACGATTCGGTTCGAATTGGCCAAATGTTTTCTGCGGCTACGCTATAATAAGTGTCCGCCAAAAATGACAACTGCATCGTATCATTCCCTAGTGAAGCTTTTTTCTCAAGCACATGAGCAAGCATATACCTCAAGATTTGTCTCCATGCACATGAATTTCTACTCATGCAAAACGCTTGAGGTATGTGCTTGACTTTCTTTTCGTATGATCATAGACTTACAGTCAATGGAATAATAGCAAGCATTGCAAGACAGCTATTCAATTCCTTTTGTTAAACTACCTTGAAATAGTGCATTTCGATTTTGAAATTTTGGCCATTGTATTGCGTAACCATCAATAATTGTTTCCGATTGCGGTGAGAGCTGAGAAGACGTGTTCTTTGGTGGTTGATCATTTGTCACCATCGGTTCTATATAAAGGAGAAATCTCATTTCTTTATCAGTGACAAATGCACTTAATGGTATATACCGTTGCTTGAGGGGCGCAAGGCGTTCTTAAGCGAAGAGACGATATTCGTTCATTCGTCGTTATATAACTCATACGAACATCAAGAGAAGTTTTACTACTTACCAGTTTTCGATCGGGCACGTTTGGAGGCAAATTTGTCGATGATATTGAAATATATACTTCGAGGGTTTCGATCAACATTTGCTTTGCCCCACTTCTCCACTGCATTTATGTTCTTCTTTATTGTCTTCCCGAACAAGTTTGTACTGATCCGACGTGTCACGTGATATCATTAATAAACGAAGCTCAACCTTTTCAAAGAATACCATATATATTTGTACTGATTTATTCAACTCCGATTTTTGTTAAAAGCAACTATATGGCATTGAATGAACCAGTGCCACCAGACATCAATGACAAATTGGACGTTAATTCACCATCAGAAAATGAAAAAGAAATGCAGAATGATGTAGTGGTTCAAGGTATGAAGAGAATTGCAAGTGAAGAATATCTATTACAAGCTTTTGATCCATCAAAAGTTGATTTTTCGTCAACACCTTAAGATAACAATAATGATGGATATTGAGTACAACAAAGATAACGAAAAAAGTTCAACGCCACAACAACGATTTCTAATGAGAAAATGAACAAAGTGTAGCCAGCAACCACGGTGCATTCGTACTTTCATAATAGTAACTCATTACAAAATCCACAAAAGTTGTATAGATCGTTCTATCATTCATCGCACAGTCAACATTCAACGGATCAATCATAGGAACGAAAATCAGCTCGTATTCGTTGGGATGGACCACCTGTTTTATCGAATATGCGTTGAACATACACGACGGAATGATAACTTTCATTAATACTTTGTTGAATTGCATCAATATTCCATTGTTTGGCTACATCATGAATTATGATCGAATAACATGTTGGTACCCGTTTTGGCACTTCAATTTCGAAGTTCTTTTCACATAACATTTTCGGCCATTTTTCATTACTATGTAGTTCTCCGAATGTATATATGTCATTAGCGAATATTGATAGAACATTCGATGTTTGCGTAAAACTTGAGTAACGTGCAAATGATAAATTTAATTTCGAATTAAACTTTACAAGTTCATTCAGCACTTTTATTTCGGTCGATTTTTGCTGATTGTCGAATCGTATTTTGAATGGTGGAAACCTGAAACTTGTAGCATTTTTTGTTTTATTTTGTTGACTATGATTTGCTGACGGTTTGTATGTAAGTGATTGATCCGTTGAATGTTGACTGTGCGATGAATGATAGAACGATCTATACAACTTCCCTCGTCAGTCAACATTCTTTCTTCAAGCTACAGAAATAAGAAGAAATTAATTTAGGACTCTTCGTGTAAATTCTATAACTTTGCAAAGAAAGGTCATGTAGAGTTGGGAGAGGTCTCATTTTAATCAGAAATGTGCGGGCTACAATCATGCCTCATTAAGAAAGGTTCGGGGTTTCTGAAAAACTGGTTTTCTAGAAAACCAGATCTTCGAAGGCCTAGCAGCAAAAACCATTGTAATATTCGGAATCAGCATAGTCGATAACCTATTCTCCACTAGATTTCAACAAAAAAGCGAGCGGACACTTGGGGCAGTTCCCTCGTCAGTCAACATTCTT